TAACCTGAGTCTAATCATCGTGAGGAATCATCAAACCAACTCCAAATGAGGAACTTCTGGTTTTTGGTTTTTTTCAGACAGGGTCTCACTATGTAGCTCAGGCTGTCCTAAACTCAGTACGTAGCCCAGGCTGCCTTCAACTTACAGCAATCCTCCTGCCTCAGCCTCCCAAGTGCTGGAGATCACAGTCATGCCTGACAGAAACTTCTGTTTAGTTTTGGCTTTTTTTTTTTTTTTTTTTTTTTTTGTACCAGGAACCGAACTCAGGACCTTGTGCTTGCCAGGAAGACATTGTGCTGCTGAGCTATATGCCCGGCCCCACTTCTGTTTTTTTAAGGGGAGAAGGGATGTCCTTCCAAAACGTCACTGTAACAAATACAGACATGTTCCAGATTAAAGAAGGCTAAAGAGACACAACCACTAAATGCAGTAACATCCCAACCCGCAGTGGGGAAAGACCAAGGTAGGTTTCATCAAGTCAACTGACCAAAGGGGAAGACCACCAGCAGATTAGATAAAAGGGTTGCATAAACGTTACATCTGCTGAGGTTGATTACTATAGTTTCGTAAGAGAATATCTCCGGTCTTTGGAAACATACATCGAAGAATTAAAGGCAGAGGGCCATAATGTGCGTGATTAACCTTTCAATGCTTCAAAAAACCTATGTGTATACTGTCAAGCTCAAGCTAGTGAGGATTGTAAAACCTGCCCTGCCGTCCCTCTACCCGCACAGATAAAGCCAGCTACGAAGAGAAACATTTTTCCCAGGAATGTGCTGCAGCTGTTAACTATCCTCCCAACCAACCCGTGTGGGGGACTACTGCTCCCTCATGGGGGAGACACTTGATTTTCTAAATTATAGACTGCAACACTGTAGCCGTTTGAAAGTATATCCCTAAGGGCTGAGGCAGGATGATAGCATGTTCCAGCCAAGCCTGAGCAATTAGCAACTTAGCCAGATCCCATCTCAAATTTTTTTAAAAAACTATTATAAAAGGGTTGGGGGTGGAAAGGCAGGGATTTAGCTCAGCGGCACAGCACCTGCCTGGCAGGCATGAGGTCCTGAGTTTGATTCCTGGCATCCCCCCAACCCAAACAAAAGGTAGGGGGTACAGTTCAGTGCCAAAGCCCTGGGTTCAATCCCCAGGGCAAGAGGGTGGGGTGTTTCCGCATCATGAAAAAGCATGTTCCCTGTTGCTGTTCCCTGCCTGGAGGATTGCAGACGAGGAGCTTCTGCAGGTCACAGACAAGGAACTTTTATTTCCAGCCATACAGAGTTTCAGATAACAGTGTTTCTGAGCCAGATCGGAGGGCACACACCTGTAATCCCACTTACTCCAGAGGCTGAGGCAGGAGGATCACAAATTTGAACCCACCTAAGCAATTTAGCAAGAGCCTATGTCAAAATTTAAAGAGCTGAGCATGTAGGTCAGAAGATGGCCCTGGGTTTGGTCCCCACTTCTGGAACAGTTTCTAGCCGCAAGGAGCCACGCTGGTGACAATACTGTAGTGTTCTGTGAGACAGGACTCTGGGTCCGCTTGCTGCTTCAGACCTGATGTTCACTCACCTATATCCATCCCTGCTTTACTCTGAACCTATCAAAACATTGTTTCATTTACATTTTGCCCAAATTCTTCTCTTCCCCTAAATCCTGCAACCCCATCACAGGTCCGCCCTTGTCACAGCGCAGCAACAAATCTGACTTTGCCCCTGATGACTAGGGTGGGTGAGAGGATAGATAACGACAGAGCAAACGCAGTGGAGTCAATTACTAACAAAAAATCTGAATAAAAAGCATTTGTGGCCAGGTGTGGTAGTGCACACCTACAATCCCAGCACTCAGGAGACTGAGCAGAAGAATTGCCATGAGTTTGAGGCCAGCCTTGGATATATAATGAGTTCAAGGCCAGCCTGAACTACATAGCAAGAACTTCTCTCAGAAAACCAAGAGAAAAAAAGTATTTGTGGGTTTTTTTGTTTTGTTTTGTTTTGTTGTTGTTTTTTGTATTTAAGCAGATTGTCTCTAAATTTGAAATTATTTCCAAATAAATAGGGATTTTTTTTCTTCTTTAAGAAACTAAATGGGTGTGGGCCTGTGTCTAGCAAACATTTCCAGGCAAAGGAAGAACTTTTATGTTATATTTTGCATTGCAATTTACTTTATACCTAGCCATCCATATTTTGAGAAATGTTCAGTACTATCTTCTATGAATATTGATATTCTATTGAATTCTTTTTTTAATGGTTATGATCTGCCCATGGAAATCACTTGTGCTTTGAAAATTTCTTCTTGAAAAGACAGCACGAGGGGCTGAGGATTTAGCTCAGCGGCAAAGCGCCTGCCTGGCAAGTGCAAGGTCATAAGTTCGGTTCCCGGTACCGGAGAAAAACCAAAACCAAAAAAAAAAAAAAAAAAGAAAAGAAAAGACAACGCGATAGTAACACGTTACACTGTGTGGCTTCGGCTTTTCCTACTAGTGGACAAGGTTCTGGACTACACTTCCCAAGTACCTCCCAAAGGGCCTGTGAGGGGGAGGAGTCTGAGCGCTGATTGGACACTGAGAGGTCTGACCTCATCATCAAGGGCGTGGTCTCCCGGCTTGCTGGGAAATGTAGGCGAGCCTCCCGTGGACTGGCGTGGGGGGGGTTGGGAAAGGACCCGCAAGAGATGCCCAATGATTGCTGGGAAATGAGGGTCCGCGCTGGGTCTCCTGGGACTTGTAGTCCCCTGAGACCTTGCAGTCTGCTTCTTTAGGGTCTGTGTGGGTAATCAGGCCTTACGCTCTTCTTGCACTACTGAACTAGGCTTCCTTAAATCATCGATCTCAGTCAGCTGCTGTTGCCCGCTGTAGTGCATGGCTCTGTCATGGCTGGCAAACCGCAGGCACTCTCTGGAGAGACAAGGGAGGGAAGCCTGGAAGGGCTCCCTGGAGGAGGGGGCAGGTTTCCCTCTTGCTGACTTGAGTCAGCAACCGGCCACAAATGCTATTTATCTCAAGCTGTCCTGATGCATAAACATCCTGTCCGATTGTCTGCACCCGCCACTGAGGACAGCTTCTCCAGCCCCCAGCTCTGCCTCTGGGCTGGTCTGAGTGCTCACCTTGTCAAGGAGGCCCTGGGGGGGCCTAGCTGGGGGAGGCCGGGAGCAAAGGAGGAGAGATCCGCTGCATCTCAGCGTTTCCAACACCGTCTCACACAGGAATCTCCATTCAGTGGGCCCCATGTGACAGGCGGCGCTGGGAACACAGTTGGTCATACCCAGCCCTGCCTATCCACCCGGTTGCCAAGCCTGCCCAGCTGGCTGATCAGAGCTGGGTCAGGAGGTAGGGGAGTACCAAAGGCGGCCCTTAACCCACCAGGGTGAGGGAAAGGGCAGGTCTTCAAATTAGGTGCTCATCCTGCAGAGAAAGGGGGAGAGCAAGGCCCCTGCATGTGCAAAAGCCTAGAGAAAACAGTTACAGACGAAGGTTGCCCAGTGAGGGTCAGATCTGGGTTTGTAGAGACCTGTACCATTGGGAGTGGGGGGTTTTGAGACAAGGTCTCATTATATACTCTAAACCGGCCTTGAACTCACCGTGGTCCTCCTGCCTCGGCCTCCCAGGTGCTGGTATTACTGGCGTGTACCACCAGGCCAGGTCCCCCTACCATGTTAGGAGGTGGATATTATTATTAGTAGTAGTATTTTTGGTTGTTTGTTTTCCGGTACTGGGAATCGAACTCACGACGTTGTGCTTGCCAGGAAGGCGCTGTGCCGCTGAGCTAAATCCCCAGCCCCTAGGAGGTGGATATTGTTATCCCCATTGTACAGATCTGGACAGGGCCCAGCAAGGTTAAACCCACTCAAGTTTGCCCAGCAGGCCTGTGGCTGAGGTAGGATTAGAACCTGGGCCATCTGGCTCCAGAGTGCAGTAGGTAACCATTGTGCAGCCGTGTCTACACTTTCTGGAATGGATGCAGCACGGGATGAGTCAACGACAGACATGATAGTACTCATCAATGTCGGCCTGATGTCTCAGGTGTCCCGGATGGAAGCCTCCCATCCCAGGCCACTTCCCCCCATACGCGTTCTGCACTTCCTGTGTGGCTATGAGGCTGCGAGAAGACCGTGTAAGGAACAAGTTGTCTGTTCCAGAGATGACAGGCATGGTTTGCTCTATGGCTGAGGGAGGGACGGGGCAGACATAAGAACAACCAGGGTCACCTCTTCACTCCTGGACTCTATGATCACAGCAGGACCAGGGCTGTGATGCCAGTGTTGGCAGAGGCACTAGGACGAGCCCCTCCCGCAACGGTCCTGTGGGAAATGCTGGGGCCCCGGCCGGCATCCCCTGGGTGTTTTTGCTGCCCCCAAGAATACAAGTATGAAAAATGGTGAGGAAACGAGGGGGCTGGTGGCTTACGTTCAACCACTTCTCCCATGTTCATTTTCCTGGCCTCACCTGAACATCTCTAGAGCTGTACGAGGTACAGGCAACTGTGCCCATGTTCACACGGGGAAACTGAGGCTCGGCGAAAGCAAAGACCAGACTTGTGACTTCACAGGCAGGAAGCAGAGGAGAGAACATCGCTAGCCTGAGCTTCCTGGCTGGGAAGGCCCCTCATGTGTGCCCGAACCCTTACCCCCAGGGGTTTGGAGAGGGGCAGAACACAAAGCGTGTCTCCTCTCACAGCAGAGGCTGATGGGATGGTTCTACCTGGGAAACAAGTTTGATGGGCTCGTTCCTGTAACACGTGCCAGAGCACTGCAATGCCTGGCAGGACCCGGGTCACAGGGGCAACCAGAGGGAGCGCGAAGGGGTGCAGACATCTGCAGCACACGCACGCGTGTATTCAAGACACAGCCCGTAACAGCGTGTGCATGTGTACTTCCATCCTTCTCATTCCCGGGCTCCAATATGAACTGTAAAAAGGAAGACAGGCCAGGTCCTCATCGCTCAGGGTCTGGCCCTCCCCGTCTCGCACAGCCCAGGCAAGGGCTGGAAGTACCCGCACTGCCCCTCAAGTCAGACTCCACAAGGCTTTATTGGCGCCTGACCTAGCTGGTGTTCGCACTTCCAGAAAAGGCAGGAGGACGGAAGGGGTCCTGGTCCCGCCAGAGCCCTCCCGGGAGCGCCCAGCCAGCCGGGGGTGGGGTGCACTTCGCGGGGGAAGGGCGCTACCGAAGGTGCACGCAGCAGGCAAGGACCCCGCTAGAAGGGGAACTCGCAGACGTAGTAGAGGCGCCGCTCGCAGTCGTGGTCCCACCAGGAGCCGTCGTCCGAGGCCTGCGCCACGCAGTTCTCCAGCGCGCCGCCGTTGGGCTGGTTGGGGCTGAGCGGGTGCGGCGCAGAGCTGGGGCGGGCGCCCGGCTCGGGGCTGGGCGCGCGGTGCCAGGCGAAGAAGGACACGCGCTGGCCGTTCTCGAAGAGGTAGAGCCCTTCCGCGCGCCGGTCGTGCACGCCCAGCCACACCGGCCAGTTGTAGGGAGCGAGCGCCGCGCGCAGGTAGCGGCTGAGCGCTTCCATCTGTGGGCGATCCGCAGGCTGGGCCAAGCTCCCGCCCCGCGCAGCGCACCGCGCCTGCGCCGCCGCCTGCGCCTCGAAGTCGCGCGAGAGCAGGAAGCACTTGTGGCCCAGGCGCAGCCCCTTCAGGCAGCCTGAGGGCGGGGTGAGGAGGAGGAGGAGGGGGCGGAGTCAGAGCAGTCAGGGGCGGGGAAAGGGCGGGACTAGAGTCTCCGCGGGAGGGCTGGAGGGCGGCCGAGTCCGAAAGGAGGCCAGCAGTAGGGCGGGGTCAGAGGCGCCGGGGCGGGGCCAGACTATTGGGCGGAGCCTCGGGGGCGTGGCGCCGCCCGAGTGGGTTCAGCTCTGCTGCGCTGGGAGGAGAGTCTTGCCACCGCCCCTCCCAGTTACTCTAACCGCCCAGCCTGCTACACCCCGCCGCCGTTGTCCTCTCGCCCCTGACCCTCTCGCCCAGGGTCTCCATTTCTCCCCGTCCCCCACGTGGCCCGGCGGCGCGTACTCACCCTCCAGGCGGCCGTGCAAGCGCTCGGCGCGGCCCTGCGCCTCCTGCAGGGCTTCCACCGTGTCGCGGGTGTCGCGCACCGCCTCCTGCTGCTGCCGCAGCCCCTGTGTCAGCTGGACCACGCGGGTGTCCAACGCGTGCAGACGGACGTGCAACTGGTGCAGGCCTGCGTCCAGGCCGGCAAGGCGGCCCACTGCGGGCGACGGACGGACAGACAGGGCGAGCACTGCAAGGGGAGCCTGGGGGCACAGCAAACCTCCCCCCCGCCCCCCGCCGCCTTGGAGGAACGGGGGATCTGGGGCTCCAGAGGGCGGAATTGGTGGGAGGGCCCGGAACTTGTGGAAGAAAGGGTACAGTGGCCCGAGCTCCCAGGATACAGGGCAGGGACGGGGAGTCCTGGGGGTGTGGGGGCTCCGGGCCGGGCGGTGAGCCACTGAAAAGGCCCTGGGTGGCAGGCTACTCACAGATATAAGTGATGGCGTCCTCGGGGGTGGGAGAGGGGCTGGGGCTGGGGCTGGGGCTGGGGGCGGCCGTTGGTACTGCCTCCTCCTCTTCTTCCCCCTGGGTCTCCTGGGTGTCCCAGATCTCTTTTTCTTCAACAGTTCGGGCGGGATTCTCGGCCCCCCTGGCAGCCGGCAGTCCCAGGGCCTCCTGCAAATGCTGTCGCGGGGGAGGGGATGGTCAGCCCCATCCCGCCACCCCGATGGCCCACCCTGCCCTCTCCAACCCGAGGCTCACTGTCTGCAGCCCAAATCCTTTCTCTGAATCTTCACCCCCTGTCCTCTGAGCCGGTCCCCATCGCTCCCCCGGCCCATTTTCCTAACCCTGGAATGCCCCCTCCCAGACCTCCGAGTCCGTGGCTCACCTTCAGCATCAGGGCCTCCCTCTCCCGCTCCTCCTCCAGGGCGCCGCCCCAGCCCCCATCCCACTCTTCTGTTCCCCGAGCCCCGTGGCCAAAGCCCAAGAGCTGGGGGACCACTAGGGCCCCAAAAAGCCAGGCTGCCTGCATCAGGCTGGGATCTCAGCCACCCAAGGTCCCAGATGTCAGAATGTCTGGGGAGGGCTGGTGTCTCTGGGGCCTGGTGGGCGCCCTGGCCAGTGCAAGATCCCTCCTCCGGGCCCTGCCTCTCTGTCTGTCTTCCGCACCTCCCCTCCCGCTCCAGCCTCTGCTCTCAGTCCCCAGGCCTCCTCCTCCGGTCCTCCCTGTGTGTGTCTCCCCGCCCCTCTTGGCTCCCTGGAGGCCTTGCCTCTGTGGCCGGAAACCTCCAACGTTCCAAAGACTGGATCCCGCCTTGGGTCTCCTCACACCAACTCTTCCCACTTTCCAGAGTGTGCTTCCGCCCTGTTCTTTCCTTCTGCTCTGCCAAGTGCTCAGATGGTCAGGAAGAGGATGGAACTGGCTCTCGGGGTGATCGTGGGGACCAGGGGTCTGACCCCAGCCCCTCCTAGGACCAAGCAGACAATGGTGGGGTGCTGGGACTCCAGCCCTCTCCCTTCTCCCCTCCTGGCCATTCCTGAGGTGGAGGCAGACCTCAGGGTCTCCTTAAGGTTGTTATTGCCCTGAGACCACCACCACCCACGCACCCCTACTCCGCCACCATTCTCAGGCCCCCAGTGAGTGCCTCCAGCCCCGCAGATGGCCCATCCTGATCTCCCAGCCCCTGTGTATGCAGTCTAGGGCAGACTGGCTGGAAAAGCGTGCAAGTGGTGGTATGCACAGCCCAGAAGGTGGGGCTCTGTGATTCAGTGGCCTCACTTTACGGGATGCCTCCTGCAGGCAAGGCCCTGGGCAGGGTGACCCAGGGGTTTCCAGCTGCTCACAGTATAGCAAACAGCTGAGCCTCCAGGTGAGGGGACTGTGCAAAGGATGAAGAGAGGGAGGAGAGCGGCCCCAGAAGGCTCCCCGGGAGGCAGGATAGACAGATGCCGGGCTGGGTGCGCAGAGAGAGCGCGGAGGTAGAGAGCACTGCCTCATCCCAGCCTGGACCACTGCAGTCGCCTCCTCCCTGCCCTCCCTCCCTCCTCCCGAGCCCCTCCAATCCCGGCTGCTTGCCGCAGCCAGAGCAGTCCTTCCAAAACATAAATCAGATCACATCACTCCCCACTCCCCTGCTCCTCCACCTTCCCATTATAAGCAGGAGAGAAGCCAAACCCCAGGCTCAGGCCTCAGCACAGCCTGTCTGGCTGGGGGCTGGGAAAGAGGAACCCTCCGCACCTCTGCGAACCTTGTGGCCCCCAGCCCCCCACCCCCAAGGGGCGCCAGGCTCCAGCCTGCTGGCCTCCTCCGAGCTCTTCCCCACCTCGGCACCTTTACTGTCCTTGTCCTCCTGCTGGAAGGCTCTTTCCCCAGATGCTTCTCATTGCCAGAGTCTCAGCTCCAAGAAGCCTTCCCTGACCACCTTCTCTAAAGAGGCTTTCATTCCACAGATGCATTTCTGGAAATGCCCCCTTTTATCTTTTTGGTATAGTCGAGACTGGCATGGTCTTTGCTTATGTCCACCTCTTGCCAGTGAAGGCAGGGACTCTCTTGTACCTTACTGTGCCCCAGGAGCCTACCCGGCACACAGTAGGTCTTCAATCAGTCCACCCAGTGAGTAATGAGGTGGCCCTTCCAGGTGGCTAATGACTTGGTCCAAGGCCTCAAGCCTTGAGTTTGGCTTGGAGGTTGCACCCTGAGTTCCCCGGGGGGTGGCCACACTGTGGGCTCAGAGACAGGGACAGCTGGAGGCCATGCCATGCCCACTCTGTGCCAGGCCTGTGAGTCACACAGGGCTTTTCCATTCTCAACCCGACTGGTGCCAAGGAGCACAGAACTCATTAGCCAGGGATCAAGGGGGCTTGCTCTTCAAAGGAGGAAATCGAGGCTCTGGGCGGGCATAGCACGGCATTCTGGAGGTCACCATTGTGGGGGCAGCTGGCCAAGGCTTCTGGCTCCATGCAGAAGCATGGCATCTGCCCTCGGCTGCTGGAGTCCCGGGAGGGGCCTTGGAAATCTACACATCCAGCCTTCTGTTTTCTGAGGAACCCTGGTACACTGAGGGCAGTGTGACCTTGGGCAGCTGCTCACTGCCTCGAAGCCTGAGCACCCAAGGCCCGCACCAGAGACCTCGAGAGAGGAGGCCGGGGTGCAGGAAGGCCTTGAACACTGCAGAGGGCTGCACAGCGTCTCGCTGCTGGCACTGACAGAGGCAGCTGTTCTCTCCCGGGCCCAGCTGCTCACCACCTGGGCTGGTGGGTGTGCACCAAGTTAGGACCTCCCCAGACTGGGCTGGCACCTGCTCCAGCTCAGACAGGAGCCGGGGAGCCTGCAGCTGCAGGCAAACCCCGAGGCTGCCCCAAATGCCCGCCATAGGGGCCAGTGTTCACTGGTGACCTGGGGGAGGGGACACCCACTGCTGTCTGGCTGCTGAGCATGTCCCATGCCTGTGTGAATTCAGACATGGCTGGGCACGACTTGCGCCATGCACAAGGGTGTGTGACGATGGCAGTGGTCTGCACCTCGCAACAGTGGCCCACAGAAGGCTCTAGAGCCAACCTGCCTGATCCTTGTCTTTGATATCACCGCCTATAGCTGGGCGACCTTGGGCAAGTTATGGAGCCTCTCTGTGCCTGGTTTCCCTCTCCAGAGCACAGGGAGCGTGCAAGTCTCTGAGCCTGGCACATAGCACACGCTCAGGAAGAAATGTCAGCAGTGCTGATCCTGGAGGGGGGCCGGGGCACAGCGCTACAGTGCCGAGCAGGTGTGTGCACACCTGGGGGTGGACAGTGTGATGGGTGTGTCAGGAAGGCACGTGTGTCTCCATCTCCAGGGTGAGAGCGGAGCATGCACACCCAGGTGTGTGCCCCAGAGTGTGGAGGTGAAACTTGCCCGGAGCCGCTGCTTCTGTGTTCTGGTGCAGGGTTGTGGTGTAGCCAGGCGTGTCTGCGGTCATGTACCCCAAGGGACCTGGTGCATGTGCGTGGGTGTCTGTGGGTAATCTGCCTGATAGTGACTCTGTGAATCTGTGCCTCGGGGGGAAGTATGCCTGTCTCAAGTGTGTGCACCTGTGCCCTGCCCTCTGCTTAGGTCAAGTGTGTGTGTGTGTGTGTGTGTGTGTGTGTGTGTGTGTGTCCATGCAACCCTTCATGTTTGGGGGCACAGGACAGGAATCTATAGCCCCGAAGTCACAGTCCAATTTGGGGATGGAGTCTGGTAACAAATATTTCTTGTGCCCCACTGTGTGTAGAGGGGTTGGGGTGCACTCTAGGCAGAGGGGCACCAGGGTGTATGGGGTACCCTTAAGGGGTGGGACCCCATCTCTGGGGTAGGGGGCAAGCAGGAGTAGAGGACCTGACCGTGGAGAAGGGTGGGGGGAGGGCAAGGGGAGGGGGCGGAGCCCGTGGCAGGCGCGGTGGGGGGATGGGCGAGGTTTGGGGGCGCGGGGAGGGGCGATGTCTCCTCCGCCGGCTCCCGGAGGGAGGGGAGAGGGCGGAGGGAGGGGAGGGAGGGAGAGAAGGAGGGAGAGAGAGACAGGGTGAGGGAGAGACTGCGAGCGCGAGAG